AGCAGATCGATAATAGACATTGTTTTGCCTCAGTGGTTATTAATATACTATATTGCAACTCAAAAACGTATAAGACTATGACATAGTATATAGCACTGAACTTTTTAAGTGCTATGATCGGCCTTGGGGTGCTAAAATAGTGTTAGGGTGTACTGCAATTCAAATCCTTAGTCCGTGTGTTCTTCAGACATATCTACTATGAGTCCTTCTTAATAGCATTCCACAAACGACTTGGAAGAAAGTACCAGATGCCGAAACCCAGGGACTGTTCAGCATCCAGATAGCTGCAGGTTTCGGCACAGACTGCATCGGTGGCACCTGCCGGGGAAGCAGTATTAAAGCAATCGGCTAAGTGAAAAAAAGATGCTTCTGACTTCATGGAGGCTCGACTACGGCGTAGGGAGTTTTGGGCGTTTAGGCGTTCACGGCCCATCTCCAGGGAAGGACCCCTGACCAGATGGCAAAAGGATGTGATAAAACAAAACTGCCGCTCTAGTGATTGCAATGTGAGCTCGCAGCCGACTTCGCAACCAGCATGCCGAACGAGGAGTATGCTTTCTTGAGACTGCAAGCTGTAACAGCATAAGGCAGTTTGCTAAAATACCCGAATAAATCTTGTTGTACTGTCATACAATACCATATAATATACTACAATACTAAAATACTATACTACTATGGTCCTACAATGGGCCCTGTAAGCCACTTCATCTACCCGGCTACCCATCTGCTGCGACCAGGGCCCGACCTCCCTCACCATTCGATGCAGTGCAAGAGCGCACGCCAGGCTCCTCCCAGTTCAGGGCATTTTCAAGTTCACCGGCCCTTTCTCCGCGGCACCGTTTAGGGTTTGGGGTTCAACCGGAACTTGAACAACCTAGTAACACCTGGTGGCTTTGTCGACAGAACAGAAACCAAAAACGAAGAGATAGAAATAAAAATGGTAATGGTAATTAATTGTACTAGTAATAGTTGAAATAACAATGATCATGATCACAGTCATGCTAACCCCTGGATCCGGGGGAGATCGCAGCAGTCGGGGTCCCTAAAGGGCCTAGCCAGACAAAACGCAGGCTCTGAAGTCAAAGGCGTCAAGCTGCAGCAAAGTACGATCAATCACCTACTTGTCGGGTATCACGGGAACTAAAGGTCAGGTTAACCTTTTTGGTTATATAGAGATTATCTAGGGCCTATAATACCTAAAGAAGGTTAAAAAGTACCTACTCGACTACAAGGATCAAAGCAACCCCAAGCCCGAACACCAAAACCCCAAATCCCAAACTGCGACACAGGACAGTTTGACCAGAACATGAAGCACAAGCGACCTCCGTTCGACGCCAGCAATTGAAACCTGGGGGTGCGAACTTTCTTGGAAGGGATCAGGCATGTCAGTTGAAAAGTTGTCCTTAATTACCCCCAAGCCCCAATGACCTAAATCCCCGACACCGAAGACTGCCTAAAGGACTTATGCCGTATGTGAAGACTTCCCGGCACGGTTGGCCCCATGAATGTTGCACCCGCATGCTTCAAGTATCATCGCATAACATCGCAGTTCGTAGTTTCCAACCTGAAGCCTTGAAACGTCAACACGAATGCCCTGGCTCAGGCAACAAACAGTGTAGGGCTGCAACCCGGTGCTTTGGGGCGATGCGTCTTCAGCTTCAGAATTCAACATTACCACCGTTAATTATGACCATCACCAGATTATAATTTAGCCACAAACTGGAAGTGTAGAGTGTATTTGATGTGTTATATATATATATATGCCTACACACAGCCAAGAGGTTCGATAACCACAAACTCACGCACCAAACAAACTATAACTCAAAGTTGTTGAAACCTCTGGCTCAACATGTTTGAGCGGAGACGAGAGGCCACTGAGAGTGATGGATGCTTCGATGCCGGCAGCGCGGGTCCAAATTTCACAGCGGCCAGGGCTGTACTCCTCAGTTCAGGGCTGCGGATTTCAAATCTGGCTCTCAACAAACGTCCAAATATAGGGGCCTTAATAATTAGAATACGGTTTGGAGGTATATTATACTATAACCATACTAAGGAACCCCTACAATATGTTGGTAAGTATTGAGGGCCCCCTATTATTCTACCTGCCGAGCCCAAAACCCAAGACTCTGGCAACGTTTCTTGTCGGTTTTGGTACCTTTTTTTTTCCAAAGACAACTGAAGACTACACCAACAGTTACCGGTGCCTGCCCTCTTTAGGGCAACATCTTCTGAAAACCTCCAGGCGGTGAACAGGTCTCTGCCTACGGCACTGCTCACAAAACAATTGCTGACCCCGAATCTGGAAAGAATGACTGCGATGCACGCCTAAGCTGATCAGCACACCCGCCCGAGCAAACACAAGGCATTTCAAGCTTGGCCCGGAGGGCTGCGCAGGAGTCCAGCCTCTTCAATCGCAGCTTACACCAGAAACACTGGCCATCCCCTTCAGCATCATGAGTCCAGAAATGGGTCGGGGAGAGCATCTGCGAATCCCTCACCAACTCTGCCCGAGTAGCCTTTCTAGGCCCACAAGGTTTTCCCACAAGCTGCTGCTTGTTTTGCAAATGGAATTTCGTGGCTTTCCAAAGCCAATCGCATACAGCCTCCGTCCTACGGTCATGCCAATCTATGTAAACATAATGGGGTGCCGCATTTTGTGCCAGCACGACAACCCTGGCAGTAGCATAGGCATCAGCCCTTTGGTTTCCAAACCACTGCAATAAGTTGTCCGTCCCAAACCCTACTGAGGTGGCTCTTGATTTTACTAAGGCTGCACATGCTCATGTTGTGATCGCCGTACATGGATGCGACCCCAAACATCGGCATTCCTGCAGTTCAAAGGGACAAAGCTATCATGTGCACGAAATCGCTGGACAACATACTTGGCGTCAACAGCAATGGTCAGACCGTGCCGGGACGTTGTCGCCTCCAATGCAAGTTGAAGAGCAAAACTTCAGCCCGAGGTACAGTCTGCTGCGCACATCCACCCGCAACATTGGCAACCAAGCTCCCAACTTCAACGAACTCATCGTCTCGACATACAACCGCAACCACAGCACAAGCACATTGCCGTTTCCGCGGATTAGAAGTGAAAGGACCCCCGCTGCCGTCAGTTGCAAGAATAACACCCGGCTCAAGCTCAACCGGCCATGCTTCAGCAAAAATGCCACTACATTCAACTTCTTCAAGCAAGGGTGGCAAGCTAGTCCATTCAAGCGGGACTACACCGAAATGCCAGAAACACCATTGCTCGGGTTTTCGGTGATGCAAATACCAATCCGGCGCTGGATGTCCCAGTGCTTTCAAGACAAGCGGACACTCCCACAACCAATGATGAAACATGTCGTCCGGATCCTGATGTATTGCTCCGCAAGCACATTCCTGCGTGGCATGGGCTAGGCCATGCAGGGTACCTTGTGCCGCGGAATCAAACAAACCCACTTCATCAGGCGCATGCTTGCAAATCCTGGCACGCATTTTCTTTGCAACACTAACATCAAAGCCCTCTTTCAACCTAACGGTCTTCAAGCTTTCAGCAAGTTGCTCGGCCTGTTGTCTGCAGATGGTTTGCTCCATCCGCTGCCACAGACAACAAACACTGTAGGGATCACTCCCAACACACGGAAACTCTTCCCCAAGGTCATCCAGCCAACAAGAAAGCCGCGGGACGGACCATCCTAGATCAAGCAAAATCGCGATCATGGCCCTGATGAGCCTTTCACATGCATCCAAGGGTACGGAACAGTCCCCAGAAACTGCCATTCAGTGCGCCAGACCTTGTCCAAGGTGGAGCGTTGTCCCGAAGTGAGATTGCGGTACAGCTTCGGCTTTGGTACTTCGAGTCCTGCTACGAAGCTTCGACTCCCAGACAGACAGTTTCGTGCCTGGGCTTTAAGGGTGTCTTTAAGGGTGTATACGTATACCGCAACAGCGCACACTAGGACTTTCAACATTGCATCATGCCCCTGACGGGGCATCACGTGGTCCTCCAGGTATGCATCTTTTTCAAATCGCTGACACGCGCACATGCTCTGCCCCTGCATCTGCTTTCCCTGGACATCAAGCACTTGGAAATGTGTGTTTAGCTCGCGTGCGATATAAACGATCGAGCTAGGCAACTCAAGAACTTGACGTCTCATCCCATCTGGGTCATTTGGCAAACCCCGGCGGCTTCGCTAGCCGTTTGCCCAACCAGCTTTGAGCGAGTGTCAATCTGTCTAACATGAACTTGCATACTGAACTTAAACCAGCAGGCATACACCAAGGCAGAACCCAGCGGGGAACCGATGTCATAATCCTGACAGTAGCTCGTATCACCTGAGCAAGCTCTTCCACTCAACCTGAAAACGAGCCTGGAGCTGCTCCATTCGTTCAATCAGCTGCTGATCGGCAAGAAGGGCGCCCCCATAACTCCTACGACTTATATACTACTTATACTTCTTTATGCTGATTTGATTGATGTTCATGAATTTTGAGATTTAGCGAACAAGAGCTCTAAGGAATGGACGACTCTGGTCGCAAGTTTCCGTGCGCTGCCGCACGCGGCGCTCGAAATCGGCCTCGAGGGCTCGTCGCTCGGCCTTGACCCGCTCCTCCACGACCTCCGAGGTCTTTCGGTTCGAGTCCCTAAGTGTCCATGTACCCAAATAACACATACTTAATCTTTGAAGTAGTCCCTATATAGGTAGTTCGTGGCCAAAGTACACACTACTTGGGCACATGGGCTCTTAGGGAGTGTTCACATGGGTTCCTCCTTTCCGCCTGATGCATGTGCAAAGTTCACAACTCCGACTAGCACGCTAAGTTAAGGGCAGACGTGTAGCAACAACCATAAACAGCAAGAACAACCATAACACAAGCACCACGAAGGCGGCGATGGTAGAACAAGTATGAACAGAAGAAAGACAATATGGCACACACACACACACACACTCCTAGAATCGCTGAAAGCAACTGCAACTTGGCAGACCCAGTCCTCGGGCTTGAGCAGGTCCACGGCATCATCGGGCAGAGCGATGCAGAGCGGGTTGGTTGGAAATGGCATAGTGCCTGTGGACAGTAGACTTCGGCCACACATTAGAGATTGACGTCTAGGGTGAGCCTTCAAACTTGCACTCTTAAGCCCAGACATCGACAATCTGCCATGAGAGTTGCTGCCATCTGGACTTTTCCCAACTGTTCTCGCAAAAGCAGAAAGACACGTCAGTACAAGTCATGGCTATTCGGGCGTGCATTGTAGGACTATGGAAGACAACTCGCTGATCATCCTGGCCTCGTCGCGCTGAGAATATCACCTATCGCCTTCTTGACGAAGTCTGTCTCGCCCCAGCTGATGTGCTCATCTTTCGACGAAATGGCTGCGAGAAGATTTGCATCCAACAGCCCAATCTTTAGCTCATCCAAGAAAGGCTGCATCCTGGGCATCTTCAACTCATTGGAGTTGACACTTCCGGTCAATAAGTTGCGCAGGTCACGAACTGCGCGGCATTTCTGCTTCTCCTCCTCGACCACAGAAAGCTCGAGAACCTGTGCGCATTCCTCGCAATCCTGCAGCTGCCGGAAGAAGCTCTTGTTGAAGATCTTTTCCTGAAATAGGATCTCGCGAGCCGTCAAGTCAGGATCCCACCAGCCACTTCTCATGTGGGATAGCAAGTAGGTGATCCTTAGGGGCTGAGTATCCCGACCCCAAAAAAGCCAACCTTTTAGTTCATGGTTGGTTATATTACCCAAAAAGTTTAAAGGTTGCCTGCTCAGCGCCTAAGGATCTGAGGAGCCATGTTCTTCAATTTGGCAGCGATGTCAACGGATTCTGCAGGACGGGGAAACCAAGACAAAAGGCCAGACTCACCTGCTTTCTTCTCAAAGCTCGCTTTTGCACGCGCAAGACACGCTTCGCAACACGGATCGGTGAATTGAGTGTGTGGTTTGCAACATCCAGAGTCATGGAAGCGGAGTGCAGGCAATGAGAGGTGCACTGCTAGCATGCCAACAGCCACCCGCTTGTTCTGCGGACTCATCTCCTTCAGCTCCTGAACCAACTGCCAGAAGGAGGCATAATGCTGGGAAGCAACCTACCGCATCAGGTACTTTGCGGGATATTGCATTTACAAACACTACTTTATCTCTTCTTTGACAAGTATGTAAGAGGCAGGGACTGCGAAAACTTCCTGGTAGTAAATTAGGACTGTGCATTCGAGAACGAAAGCTTCACTTGGTTCCACATTGCCGAGTAAACTCCTGCATGATGGAGCTGCGCACCGATCGCAATGCCTTCAGGTACTTTGACAGAACATATGGGTCGCAGTGGTTCCTCTCACCGCAATAGCCGGCCAACTGAACACGCATCACCTCTGCAAGAAACTCTGTCATACGTGGTAGCTTTTGCGGATCAAGGCAGTCGTCGTCAGGCCGGGTGAGGCGTGCTGCAGCTCGAACTGTGTTGTTGTGTTGCTCAAGCAAGCCAGTCAGCCTGTCTCTGCGACTTTTCCATTGAGCAGCATACTTTTTCCAATCCACATGGTATGCTTGCAGAAGCTGCTCTTTCACAAATAATCGTGTAGCTGCTGTAGCTCCAAGTTTGGGTAACGCCTCCGCAAAATCCAAAGCAGCTGGCAGGTGCGATTGCCTCATTGTGTCATTTGAGGCTCTGGCAACGGCCCCGAGCACATCGGGGTAAATTGCAAACTTTTCCAGCAAGGCCTTCATTCGAGCAAAGGTTGAATGGCTAATGAGTTTGTTCTTTTCCATTTCCTCCATCATCTGCCGGGCCGGAAAACATGCGTCTTGCATCTTGACGCCCTGCTCGACTTTCGCAGCTGCTTCCATAGCATGGTGGAGAAGCGACAGCGTTGACACGGGATTCAACGCGGAGTTCATGGCAGCTCGAGATTTCGAGCGGGCGCCACAGTGCCCTAATGCGCAGCTACACATGTGGAAGATTTTGTCGCATGCACCCCGTTGATCCCCAAAACTGATCCGAAAGATTCAACTTCACAGTGGCATCTTGCTATCGGGATGTACGTGTGGGCACGTTCAGCCGGGCCCTGCGGCAGGAGGCGCAGCAATGGTTTGAGAGAGCCCGCACAAAGATCATGGCGGGCCCGAGCATAAATCACAAGATAGTTGTAATGGTAATTGGTCCAGGGGCTTCTAGTATAATGGGCCCCAAGACCCTGTTCTAATTATGAAGGCCCCCATACTATATATATATATATATATATATATATCATAGAACCCCATTATAGACCCCTTAATAGGAGCCGCTTAAACGGAACCCTGGTTTAATTATGAAGGCCCCAGTGTTAGCATTGATTCCATAAGCCAAGGATCGATTCCGGTGCATGATGCTTCCTTCATGCACTCGGCCTTACAGGCTGTAATGCTCGAGACCCCATGGATGACGTCGAAGTAGCTCGGCCTCGTCATAGGAGTTTCCGAAAATTAGGAGTACCTGCTTTTGGGGTCCTTATAGTAAGGATCCTACTATTTTGGGTACTATATTTGGGTGCCCTATTTTCGGAAACGCCACATAGCAGCACTTCTGCCACAGGCGCAACGCAATTGAACAGCAGCAGCTCCTCTTCATATCTCGAAGTCAACACAGGAATTCTCCCTTCTCTTTCGTTCCTGCCTGCAAAATCTCACCAAGACTGAGATAGGCCTAGTTGCCATCAGGGAGTTTCCCAACAATCAGGGGTACCTTCTATTCGGGTCCTCATAATAAGTATCCTACTATTTAGGGTACTATATTAGGGTTCCTTATTTTCGGAAACTCCCATAAGTGGCCCCTATCTCAGAGATTCGGGGGAGACAACGCCAATGGAACGGAGCCTGTTGTCCGATGCACTTGCTCCTCGGCACGCCTGGTCCTTGCCGCCATTCACCTGGACAACGAGATTTGCAACTCTGGACCTAGGCTTCAGGTCTGATGTTAAATTATATAGATAGGAATCAGCTTGGGAGGCTGAGTCAGTGAAGAACCCCCTGCCCCTGCCTCCAACACCCCAGCACACACACTCACACACACAAGCCCTAAACATGAAATCCTCAAGCCAAGTCGAGCAGAGCGGCTGCTTCAAAGGATCCAGGAGGGTATGGGGTCGTCGTCGACATGCCTGAGTGCTCCCAAGCTCCAAGCAAATGGAACGAAGGCGACCACGGCAAAAAGCATGCCAAGCCTGAAAGAAACTGTGGATAGGGCCTTCTGTGCTTAAAATAAAGACGCGACAAATCCGACTGAAAGCCCAACGAGCGTCTTGACCGCAGTGCTTCACGATGTGAAATTTACATACGCAGGTGCGTTAAAGAGAACACCAGACCCCCGACATAACACCTGCACGATATGGTTTCATTGGCTTCAAGCCCAGAAATCTTGACGATGGGAGGCCAAAAGGGGGGCTTAAGATTCTTGGGGTAGGGATTCCTTAATATGAACCCTATTATGGGAACCCTAGTCCCTACGAAACCCGCATAGGCCAAAACCCCTTTTGGCCTCCTATGATGGTTGAAGGCCACCGAAATAATTACCTATACTATTTTGTGGTTCCTTATTATACTTATAGTATAATGGGCCACCCCAAAACCCTATTCTAATTAACCCTCCCTAAGGGTCCATGTACTCATATGGCATATACATTGGGTCTAAAGTACTCCCCACGAAGGTACATTGGGCCCAAAGTATATGCTATATGGGTACATGGACCCTTAGGGCCTGTGACTTTATGCCGGGCATCTCGGATCCAGGAAGCGGTAGCAGCTGTAGCCCGAGACCGGAGCTGAAGCCTCGATGCCTCCGGGCGACGGAGGGAAGAGGGTTTGGGTTCTACGGCTGATGATATAAATCCTGCATTACCTTAAGGACCCTAAACTATGGGAATTGTGGCATGTTCCTTATTATGGGTCATGCAGGATTTATACCATCAACCGTACCTATAGTCTCCATTGTAGTTCCTTTTTTTTGGTTAACCAAAATCTCTATTTTTGGATCCTCACCATAGAACTGGTTAAGCAAAGAATAACTACAATGCAGACTTTAGGTAGATGCTTGTCGTATTCTTTTGCGGGCCTTTTGGTGTGCAGTCTAGAGTTTAGGACCTAGGGTCTATATGGGATTAGGGCAATCATCATGGCAGCAGCAGTAGGTCTGCTTACAAGCTTTGTAGGGCTTACGAGTCATGAAGTTTAGGGTTAGGGCTCTGGGATATGAGGACTAGCTAGTGACAACGCATCAAGCCAGTTGATGGAACTCATGACTTAAAGCTCCTCATGGTATGCCGTCAGAAACGTGTCTTTGTCTTCACTAACTATTCATCCTGAGTAAGAGAGTCGCAAGGGTTGAGGGGTTTGCTATGTGTAGTTTAGGGATGTTGCAGACTCCGTAAACCCCTCCCAAACTGTTTTGTCACTCAGACTGAACTGGCCTTCTGCTCGAGTCCAGATTTCGCAGCGGTTTGGGCTGAATTCGACACCTGCGCGGCAGAGGAACCCTACACTCTCAACCTCAATTGAGATTGGATTTCGGTTTGTTTTCCTTAGAGAGTCTCGGGAGCTGAACGGCACAAGGTGATGGGCTCGCGATCTTTCCGGTGGGGTTTCGGGTATGAGGTCTCAAATACCACGCGACCACACGCTGCGGCTCTATGCAAGGTCCTGGTCTCTCTGAAGTCACGAGGTAACTTGGCAACACAACGACATTCGTATCATGTTCGCTTCTGGATTCACTCCATGCGCCACGATGCAATCGGGCTGCATGCTATCCTCGAAACAGCTGGACAAATCTGAAGCATTTAATTCTGACATGCCGCAGTACTTAAGCCCCGACACGCAAAGCAGCTTGCTCCAACTGCCAGTGCAAAATAAACATGGACTAAACCATGACCCCGGTTCATCCATAACGAACCGGTGAGCGCAGAGTTCAGGGACCCCAAAAGCACATAATGCATAAACATTGTATAGGGATATCCCTGCCTTAATTCGCTTCATTATAAGGGGGTTTATATGGGATATCCCTATCCTTATCTTTGCTTATGTGCTTTTTTCGGGCCCTACAGAGTCCCCTTTCTCCTCGGAGCCTTGGCAGAGAGGCTGCCGGGTGCATTCGGCTTGGCAGTCGCCGAGTGTGAAGAGTCCTGCAGGTAGCGCGGCAGCCTTGGGGTTATATAAGCCTCGTAGGGGTTTAGGGGTTTAGGGGTTTAGGGTTTAAGGTTTAGGGTTTAGGGTTTAGGGTTTAGGGTTTAGGGTTTAGGGTTTAGGGTTTCGGGGGCCTCAAAAGGTAGGATAAAGGTAGGTGGGATATTCACAGATACGAGTCCTTATATAAGGGATCCTTAATCCCACCTACCTTCATCCCACCTTAGGGTCCATGTACCCATATAGCTATACTTTGGGCCCAATGTACCTATATAGGGAGTACTTTAATAAGGCCAGTGTATATACTATATGAGTACATGGACCCTCTGGGTTCGGGCTCAGGGTCTGTAGCCCCTTTTGGGTTTTAACCAGCTGCATAATTAGGATCCTATAAAGTAACTGAAAAAAGGAGAACTACATGTGGAGACTACAGATAGGGATTCCGCAGCGGTACAGCTTCCTGAGTGCAGAAGCAAAGTGCCATCGTCAGAACTATCGTCATCGTTCTCATCACTGCGGTACATGTGAACCGCACTGGTTTGATGATTAGGTTGTGGCGTTATGGGTTCTTGTCGCCCCTCAGGACATTCTTGATTGCAAACTTCTGGAGTTCAACCCTTTCGGTGCTGTCCGACTTGAATGACCGCAAATTGTGTTGGAGGCACTAACCGTCACTAACCCAAAACCCTACGCAAGAAGCCGGCTTCGCTCGGACCCGGAAGCCTAAAACCTTGAATGCGGCAACGCGGAGGTCGCAGCTGCGGCTCGCAGATGCGTAGACTGTAGTCAGATGCATAGACTGTAGTGCTTGCGTTCTTACTGTGGGGCAGGGGTTGAGGGCTTGCGAGGTTTACAACAATAATATAGAGGCCTCAATAATTAGAACAAGGTCTTGGGGCCCATAGTACCACAATCATCATAAGGAAACCCAAAAATAGTATTGGTATCGAATTAGATTGCGCCGCTTTCCATTGCTGCTCCCATGATTCCAGATAGAGATTGAAGCCTGGTAGCTCGGACTGGGGCCTTGGGCCTCCAACTGTTCATCCTGAACCTCCTAAGCCACAAACCCGAACACCCTACACTCTGTAAGCCCTACATCCCTAGACCCTAAAGCCCAAAGGCCCTACATCCCAAAACCCTAAACCCCGAGACCCTAAAACCCAAAGGCCCTAAACCCCCAAACCCCAACAGCCTAAAACCCAAAGGCCCTAAAAGCCTAAACTCGCTAGACCCCAACTTACGCCCACCTCGGACGATGGAGTAGTGATCCGCGGAATTGTCGCCTGCACCTCGACACATTGGATTCTCTGGGTTCGTCTTTAGAGGGATTGAGTGTTAAGTTACGATAGTAGGGATCCTTTAAGGGTTCCTTTAAGAGATCCTTTAAGGGTTCCTAACGTTTAAGTTTCAATAACATAAACCTATTGTAAATAAGAAGTTTTCCTGATTACGGTAACATATATTAAGTCCCTTAACAAGAACCCAGTTCTATCTCGACGTGAATCTCAGCCGCAAGCCCAGGCCTCTACCAGCCCTTGTGGTCCCTAATAGCGGGTAGTTGGGGGGTCCAGGGAAAGGAGCCACATCCTCCAGATCGTGGAGGTTGGGGCTCGCTTGACTGCGTTGAGAGGGCAAAAACGCCAGGTCACAGTTGGGAGGGGGAGTTCGAGAACTGAAAAGCACAGCACAGAAACTCGGAAGCCCTCATCGAGTAGGTTGCTCAGCCCGCTGGCGCCCCAAACCCTAAACCCATCCAAACGCTAAAATGGAGATTTTGAAGTGTGGTCCAAGGCACTGGCACCCCGGCATGCACGATTCGTGGCACCATCGACAGCCTTTCCAACGCAAGAAAGAACAGAGATTTCCTCCCTCGGCTTATAGTAGACTCGACGAGCATGAGCTCATGCAATCATGCGTGCACACGAACATGCATCATGCATGCTGGCACATAACACTACTCGAAAACTTGCGATAAGCTCAAACAAGCATAGACATCTCTCCGGACCAATATAAAGGCCTGGATGATTAGATTGAGGATTCGTCGGATGTTACGAATATGTCAAGGAAACTTAGGCCTACTGGGACAGTTCTTATAAGTATGCAGGTGGCGATCCCCGAAGCGTAAACCCCAAACCCTGAACCCAGTGCCCCTGTGCACTGCAACGGTTGATGATATAAATCCTGCATGACCCATAATAAGGAATATACCATAATTCCAGAGTTTAGGGTCCTTAAGGCAATGCAGGGTTTATACCATCAACCGAAGGATGTCCAAAAGCCTCCCACTGCCCGACACGTGGTGGCAGGGTCGTTTCTGGCTCACCTCAGCAGGGCGGCTTCCTGAATGTTGGGGCATCTTAAGGGATTTAGGGTTAAGGATTTAGGCGGTTGAGAAGTTATGCGTTGGCGACGTCGGGTTCGGGCCTTTGCTATTTATTGCACCCATTCTCCATCGTGCATCCGCTGTCAGGAAAGCCTCGTGAGTTGGGCAACTGCCAGCAAATCTGCACACCCCACCCCCCACGGTCACAACGAATCACCGAAAGATCTGGAATTGTGATGGCGCCGGGGGGGGTCCCCAGTACTGGCTACTATCCCTTATAGTATCCCTTGTAGCAACCCTCACTACCCTAATAAATAATGGCAAATTTCTCCTGCTCTTGTTGTGTTTGAGACATCCGGCCTGAATCGTTACTCGAGGTAGGTCTCCCGGAACTATAATGTACTGTTGATCCTGGTATTGGTACTAAACTATAGGGCTCCAAGTATACAAATAGTACCTACTTTGGGGTTTAAAATACATAAATACTACCTATTTTGGGCTATTTGGAGCCCAAGGGTAATGCTGTCATATAGAACTGCTGCTAGTGCCATTGCTACGACTGTTCCTTTACCAACTCCTCTGACTATGACCATTACTATTGCCCAGCATCTGCACGCTTTGGGTTTAGGGTCATGGGTTGGGCAACCTAAGCCCAATCCTACCACATTTGCGGTGAGGCACCGTAGCTGTAGCAGCTGAAGCCATTCAGTGGGATTGAGGCCTGCAAAGGATCAGAGTTCTGGCGCCCAGTCATTTGGAGGCGTTAGCATGGTATTGCTATGCTTGTTGCTACTCAGATCAAAAGCCGTGATGGTCAAACACAAGGCTTCTTCGTCAAGGGCCAGCAAACGCCGAGACCCTCGATTCTCTACATAGTGCATGAAGCTTCAAGACCCATGAGTTTGGCCCCACCAGCGGCTTAATTCGTGCTGTATCAGTCTTTTTCAGCCACGACGACTGCCGAATGGTTTTAAGACTATCACGTTTCGCTTCGCCTCCGTAGCCCCTAGCCAACATGCCTCATTCAAAGCGTATACCCACAACCCCTGAACCGTAAACACTTTGTTCCCACCAGGAGGACCCCCAAACCCTAAACAACCTGACCACACCCTACACGCTGCACACCGGAACAGCGAGATTGCGGAATAAAGCCGAAATAATGTGAGGCCTTTAATGAAGAAACCTGGGTTTGGGGGCCCATTATACTATAGCTATAGTAAGGAACCTCCCCCCCGTGCAAAAAAAACATAGTCTAGGTCATTCTTAAGGCCCCTATATAAGCTGACTCGTCCAAGCCGCAGATCCAGAGCATCCCGAAGCCTTACCCACTTACAACATCAGGGATTCCGGACCTTCCAATTAAGGAATACATTGTCGTTTCCGAAAATTGGAGGGTACCTTATTTTGGGGTCCTTACAGTAAGGATCCTGCTGTTTTAGGGTGCTATATTGAGGGCCCCTATATTCGGAAACTCCCCTGTACCTCAAATCATGATAAGGATCCTACTATAAGTTAAGGAATATGCCTTAATTACAGGATTTTTATGGAAGGTCTGGGACCCGAAACCCCAAGCCCAAGAATGCTCCGACATCCCACAGGCCTGGATGCCCTCGGTACGGGTCCAGACCTGGTTTCTGGCGACTTCGGGGTGTTCGAAGCCCTAGGGGTCCCACCCAAACAGGGTTCCATTAAGGGCTCCTTTAAAGGGTTCTATCACGGTTTATTTAGGGTTTAGGGTTTAGGGTTGAGGGTTGAGGGTTTAGGGTTTAGGGTTCAGGGGATGGCTTAGGGTAATTATAAGGGTCCTATAGGGGTCCATGCCCCCAACTGCGGCTGATGATCTAAATCCTGCATTACCCATAATAAGGAATATCTGGGAATTATGGTATATTCCTTATTATGGGTCATGCAGGATTTATATCATCAGCCGTAGTATATTCGCCGGCCTTGAAGTAGTCCATATCATGTAGGTACTTTGGGGGCCAAAGTCTATACTATTTGGGCGCATGGACCCTTGCGGGTATCTGACTGTTTCACGTGGGAGGATTTAAGGTTTAGAATTTTCAGGCTGTCAATATTGGTGACCGTGCACACGTTCACACCCCTAGTATGGAACAAAAACATGGACAGAGACCCTAAGCCTTGCAAGACACTCCAACTTCAGACAAACTTGCTTCACCAGCTGCACTGACACTAAAAATCAAGAACTAAGAGACCCCAACTCCTACACTTCCCGGTAAAACTCCCGTGCTTCCCCTCTTAGATACAGCCTCACAGCGGCCAGGACTGTACTCGATGCCTGCAGGGCAAGCAAGGCAGCGGTGCTCATGATACCAGAACTAGAAGCCTAGAGATCTAAGGACTTAAGGCTTTTAGGCCCAAAGGCCATACTATATCAGGTTTTGGGGCTGTTTTGATCCCCAGGGGAAGTAACATCCATGCTATAGAGTAATAGGGCACAGGGCTTTGCCCTACATTTCCAAGTAGTGCTTATTTATGGTTAAGTCCCATAATCAAGAGTACTGGGGCCCCTTAGGGTTCTAAGGGCTTGCTACCAGCCAAAGCATCGTCAGCATCATCAGCGCCGTCATCATCATGATGCGACAGAAGCTGCAACATCATCGCCAGAGTCATCAGAGTGAACAAACATCGCTGATAAACAAAGCTACAAAAGTTACGAACATAACTACCAGCATCCTCCGCCCGCCATGATGATGGCGACACCATGGTCATCATCGCTGTCAGCAGAAGCAACATCCGCAAACTCTCTCATCAACAGCTTCGGCTCTTGAATGTGTGAAGACAACATCACCACATCGTCACCGTCATCATCATGATCCTGGTAGACATAGAGAGTTAGGCGATGAGGAAACACTAGCCATTGACCACGCGTGGCGTCGAAGAACGACTTGCCATTGGGCTGCAGTCGCGCTTTCGCATTTAATCTATATGGTTGGAACCGCTGCAGGCCAACTTCCGGGCGAGCGAAGAAGTGAGCACTGGCTCTTGCCAACGAATGATGATGACTTGCAAGTGAGATCCCCAGCGAGTGATCCAGAGACACTTCCGAACAAAACACAGTTCACGGCAGGACGGATGGGGCCACACTTGGGCCGCTCGGGCCCTGAAACTCAGCATTTATCCATCATCACACCATCTTTCGCCACGACGAGAGGTCCCGATGCTAAGGAAACCTTCTCTGCACTTCCATGTGCCCTGTCACCGTTTGACACCCGCCGCTGCCTTTGCAACTGGCGTCCGCAAGGCATTCGTCCTTGCAGGCATCCAGAGAACCGGATCCAGCAGGCATCACCTGGGGACGGCTGAGGAGTGAAATGGCTTGAGGTTTTCGGGCTCCAAGATATACGGACTCAAGCTCTTCATGTAAGTTTGACTTCTGAAAGAATACATACAAAATCATGCATATTTGTACATATATGTATATGTATATGTAAATGTATATGTATGTATGTATGTATGTATGTATGCATGTATGTATGTATATATATATGTATATATATATATATATATATATGTATATATATATATATATATATATATATATATATATTATGAACTTGTGTATAATTATGTGCACTACAATCTACAGTGGGGGTCTACTGTGCTGGCCTTCCTTGACAGCCCTCCGCAAGAAAAGACAGGCGCATGTGTGCCTTCCCTCATTGCAGGACGGATTGAGGGCAGTGGACATGGACTCGATCGTAACACTTCCAATGTATAGGCCACTCTGCATCCAGTACCCATCCTCACAAGACTCCACCCTCGGAAATTCATGCAGTAGTACGTGAGTAGCAACAGCATCACAGTGCTGACTTGGTATTCCTGCCATCAGCCGCTGTTCCCACTGTGCTTTCTTTTTTTCTCGTCCGGGACTGCTACTCTAGTTTGTGCCACTGCCTAGATCTGGCCTCGTAGTAGCTCGGCCGGTTGTCACCAGCGCTGCTTCCACCTGGGGTCAGAGGCAGCATATCATTCTATACAATGGGAAAAGCTGAGCTTGCGTACTAGCATGTGGCATCGTGTAACCATTGCGGTTGCAGACACAAGTGAGAGGCGAATGGAACTTGTTGGAGGGAGAACGAACGCATCACTCGAGATATACATGCAAGCACCTGTATGGCACTCTTGCACGTGGCCTTATGTACTCTCACATCGGTAACGTCTTTGCGAAACTGCTGCCACCGAGAAGCGGCATGCCCGGTCCATGCCCCCATCGACAGGCTCGAACGTGCTCTCCGACGTCGTAGCCTTGTTGAAGCCTCGCAAGCACGTGCTACGCTGGCCACAACTTTAGTTATTGCTAGAATGATTGTGGTTGCTTCTGTTACACTTAGTTGTTACACTTCTGCTTACTTAGCTTACTTCTGCATAGCACATTCCAAAATATTCCAAATCCGCTTCATTCTTGCTCGCTCTATCGCATTTCCTGTCTGAGTTGCTTCCTTGCTTGCTGTCTGGCAGCAGGCAGAAAAGGAAGCAGCACCCATTTTCGCCTGCAGATTTCACCTCACCCAACTCCCCCATCGCGGTCGGCAAGTTTACTCTTGCCTGTCTCACCCACATTAGTATTATCGTGGTGTGTTTTAAAACCTCTCCGTTTTCGTCCTCAAGCCAATCTTTGCTCACATGTTTAGTTCAGCTAGTCTTCCTTCTCTCTCTGTCTCTCGCTCCCTCCTTCTGTTTGACTGGCTTCGGCTCCCGTTGTGAAGAACAGTCTCAGTAGTTGCTGACGTGGAGACTTCCGTGCAGCTGCAACCAGGCATTGCCGGCGGAGCACGCCTTGAATGCTGCACTTAGCCCTAAACCCTAAACCCTAAACCCTAAACCCCTAAACCCTAAACCCTAAAACCTAAACCCCTAAACCCCTAAACCCTAAACCCTAAACCCTAGGGTTCCAGCAAAAGGGCTGAATAGGGTCTAGGGTTGCTGGATTACATATCCCATTGTGGAATTCGGTCCCCAAAACCATAAGCAAGATGATCTTTTGGGGCCCAATTCCATAAAGGTCGTGTATATGGGCGTTTCCGAAAATTAGGGGTACCTTATTTTGGGGTCCTTATAATAAAGAGCCTACTATTTAGGGTAGGGTCCCCTATTTTCGGAAACTCTCATATGGAGCCTCTGGATATTTTGTAATTAGTAGCCTACGCTGGAGCTCCAAAGACCGGGAAGCCAGAACCTTACCAGCAGAGGACTATGACTTCTCCACAGCCCTTTGTGAAACTGGCAACCGTATAGCTCGAGAGGATATATATATATATATGTCTATATATATACACACATACAAATACATGAAGGTATGTATGTATGTAGGAAAGTCGGTAGGTACAAGTAAGTATAAAACAAACATAGACAACGACAAAGGGGCTACGCACACTTGAGCGGTTATCAAAACCTCTTTTCAAATCGTTGACGCTAACAAACCCTTCCGCGTTTAGGGTGCGTGCAGCTTCCGCGCAGCCAACTGTCCCTTCCGCGCGGGCCCTTGAGTCAGCTCTTAGGCTTTAAGCCTTCCGCGCGCCCTTCCCCATTTCAGGTCTTTGCGCAGGACTGAAACCCAAGCTTGCTGAGATTTTCTTCCGTGCAAGCCATTTGCGACATACGGTACGGCAGCAAGGTTATGAAGTAAAGGATTCTGGGCGGAAAAGGGTGGTAGGAGCTGGGTGAGTTCGCAGTTTACAATCGTCATCGGTAGAGATGTGGTTCCAGTCCAGAATCAGGTTTAAGGCCTTTGGGGTGGGGAACTTAGGTGGGTTTCCAATCAGAGCCTGCTTTAATTGGGTGGGTTTCCGGTTTAGAGTTCGGTTAAAGGCCTTCGGGGTAGGGACTTCGGGGTGGGTTTCCTTTCTAGAATAAGAATTCATTTTAAAGCCTTAGGGGTAGGGACCTGGGTGGGTTTGCGGTCTACAATCGTCATGGGTAGAGATGGGTTTCCAGTCCAGACTGTCACACAAAAGGGATGGGGGATAGGTGGAAGTTGGAGGGCGTCCCTTCCGCGCGCCTTCCGTGCACCTTCCGCGCGCCTTGCGCGCGGAGCCCAATCTAAAACTCATTTTGGCGGGTTTCGGATCTGTGAATAAGAATAAGACGAAGTATAAGGATAAGGATAAGGATCAGAATAACAAGGCTAAGGATAACCACAAGGATAAGGATAAGGGTAATACGGTAAGGATACGGATAAGGAATAAGACTAAGGATAAGGATAACGATAAGGCTATAAGGATAAGGATAAGAAGCAGGATAAGAATAAGGGTAAGGATAAGGGTAATACGGTTAAAATAAGGATAAGGATAAGGATAAGGACAAGGAGTAGTAGAATTACCTACTAGTAGTACTAGCAGCAGCAGCAGCGCGAAATATACTTTCACGAAGAAGATTAGCAAGGGTCCATAGTGTTAGTGAGGATTCTTTCTGCCAGGCTTTTGCACCTCCAAAGCGTAGTGGTAATCGGTAGTCGTCGTCGTCATCGTCTTCATCGTCGCCGTCTTTATAAGACCTCAAGATATCCTTCCGCGCACCCCTTCCGCACATCCGTTTTTAAAGCAACCGGTGCGCAAGCCTTCCGCGCATGCGACTGTTGCTTACGCGCGCTTGCGCGCCCATTCGTTAATGCCGGCCCTAGTCTGGCTAGCTCTTCGATGGTTTAGCTCTCCGCTCACTTGTGCAAACACATGCATGTGCCTTTGATTAATAATCCCCTTTTCGTCAAAAGCCCTCGGCCCTCATTAAAAAAAAAGCTCTCTGTCATACTCCATGCCCAAACCCTATACACCCCACGCTAAAACCCTAAACCCTAAAAGCCTGAACTCAAATTAACCCCTAATCATCGCTTGAAGAAACCCTAAACCCTAAACCCCTAAACAACCCCAAACCCCAAACCCTAAAATCCACTAAGCCCCTAATCCCCTAAACCCCTGAGCCCTAAAGCCCTAAACCCCGGGGTGGCCGGTGATGTCTGAAAAACTCCGTGCCCGGTGACGTCGCCACGGCAGCCGGAAGAGGCAGCCTGGGCCTGCAAAAAGCAAAAGAAGCTTCAGATTTAGGGTCTAGGGGTTTAGGAGTTTATGGGGGTTTAGGGGTTTGGGGGGTGTTTATAGGGGTTTAGGAGTTTACAGGGGGTTTAGGGGTGTGGGGTTTAGGGGGTTTAGGGGTTTGGGATCACAGGGTTGATAAGCGTTGGGCAAATGCGATCCCCGCAGGGGTCCCCTCCCTGTGATAGGAGGTTTAGGGGTTTGGGAGTTTAGGAGTTTAGGGGTAAGTTAAGGGCTTTAGGAATTTAGGGGTTTAGGGGTTTAGGAGTTTGGGGCTTTAGGAGTTTGGCGTCTACTTCAACCCCGAATAGCCTACCTCTTTAGAGCTCTTTACTATGATTTCCTTTTGGATGTACGGGTGTAGATAGAGGTTTAGGGTTCAGGAGTTTAGGGTTGCAGGTATCCGCAAGGGAATAGGGTTTAGGGTTTTCAAAGGAGTCCACGGTGTTAGTTTGGGGGGCTTTTAAGCTTTAGGGGTGGGGGTTGAAGGGCTAAGAGGTTCAGGGTTCAGGGGGGTTTTAGAGCTTAGTTTCGGGCTGTCGGCTGTAGAAATTTAACTCGGGCCTTAGGGTCGAAGAGGTTCGAGATTGAAGCAAGCTTAGGCGTTAGCGGGTTCAGACTCTTGTGGTGGTGGCGTAGCTATGTTGTAGTACCACACACACGGACCCACAGGCAGATCTTTTTGTCTCGGAAGGTTGGTGTGGTATAGGTGATCGATCGATTTTGTACCGAAGATTATCTGCTTTGGCACGGAGTAATACGCAAGATAACAAAAGCCTTCGGAGATCTAATGCCCGCCTGCCCCAGCAGCAATGCGAATACGAGAGCAGCAGCTGCCATTGGCGGTGAGCTTATGGCTAGGCGTCGAGTTGGGTATCAGAGGGCTTGTGTCAGCCGAAACCCACAGGGCCAGACGGTCGACCAGAGTCGCGGATAGGCACAAAGCACCAAATCCAGGTATCCGAAGCGTGTGTGATGCTCAATGCGCTGGGTGATGTGCTCAAGCTAAGACCACTCCAATTTCCACCTCGGACTTTGACAAGACCGATACTGCGTGTGTGAAAGCTAAATTAACAGCATGCATAGAGAACACAACACCAGCCTCCGTGTTCGCGCGGGCAGTGATGCAGGTAAGGGTTGCGATGGCTTACGCGTTCGACAACGTACGTTCATGCTTTACAGATCGACGTACATCTGGACGAAGGGAGAGGACATCGAAACCCTGACCATAAACCCTAGAAGCCCTAAACCCCTAACATCCCTAAACCCGGAACCCGAAATTCTCACCGAGAGCTGAGTTCTGACATCTCCTCGAAGCTCCATCAACTTGCTGGTGAACTTCATCCTCGGTACGCACACCGCGCGCGCGGGTGTGTATGTGTGTGTGTGTGTGTGTGTGTGTGTGTGTGTGTGTGTGTGTGTGTGTGTCTGTGTCTGTGTCTGTGTCTGTGTCTGTGTCTGTGTCTGCGTCTGGGTCTGGGTCTGGGTCTGTGTCTGTGTCTGTGTCTGTGTCTGTGTCTGTGTCTGTGTCTGTGTCTGTGTCTGTGTCTGTGTCTGTGTCTGTGTCTGTGTGCGTGCGTCTGTGTGCGTTTGTGTGCCTGTATGCCGGTATGTCGGTATGCATGTAGGTAGGCAGGAAGAGAGGGAGGGAGGTACATGCATATGTATCACATAGATACTGTACATAAATACATGCACACATAGCCTCATGAACATTAATTACACAAACTGGCATCATATTTGTCAAAACGAAATACCATAACCTTCGATTCCGTTCCATAATATGAAAATGCCACACTGCACTACACAATAACAACAATAATGTTACATAGCATTGTTATGACTTAACATAACAGTTGCTAACGCAATATAGCACATCACCCCACAGCATGGCGTAACATAAGATTACCCATGAAATAAATAGCATAACCAGACCAAGCATAACACAGATGCAGGTAAGTATATCTACATGCACTCTCAAACATGCACATCGACATGTGTGTGTGCACATTATATTATGCATGCATGCATGCATGCATGATCTGCCTGCGAGTCCATACCAGTCCAATATCAACCTCTGGTTGTCGGCACTGAGTCGGCACCAGCCCAAAGCCCCGGGAGGATCTAGAAAGTAGATACCCCTAATTTGGAGCCCTATGCTACAAAGGGTCCTTTATAGGAACCCCCATTAAGGGATCTACTTTTTGGATCCTCCCGGGGGTCTGAAATTCCACACCACCACACCGCCCAATCATCACGGACGCACACCGCACTTTCACATTTCAGTACATGATGTTGTTCGGTCAGTTCAGCAGCGTTGGGGTTACAACCCTTAACTACCGAGGGCAGGCCCAGGACGAAATTCGGACTAAGGCTGCTGCACGAGCTGCGCAGCCTGCACTTTTCTGAGCATCAGGCTGCTTTAATTCTTCTTATCGCTGTGCATTTCTGCGGAGAACATGGTGGGGGGTTCAGGTTACGTCTGCTGCGGAACCTGCGATCTGAAAGCTGCTAAAAATCGCGGGATTTAGCACAGATAGTTCAGCGTGAGCCCAGGATGATAGCTGCCGGAGCCCGCTAGTGCATTCAAAAAAAAAATTTGCTATCTGCAATGAACAGACCCTCTTGAAAACTACCATTGTGGAACTAAGCCCCCAAAGACCATACTGCTCATATCTGCTCATGGTTTTGGAGGACCTCATTCCATCATCGTGGCATGTATGGACCCTCTTGGGTGTTCTACCCCTCAACTCTGAATCTTAAAACCTATACACCACGGCGTACAGTGCCAAAAGGGTAATACAGGGCCGGAAGGTGAGGGTCTAGGTTTTTTTGGGGGTTTAGGGCTTCGGGTTATAGAGTCTAGGGTTACTATTCCTTGGGCGTTTTCAAAAGGAAACATTATACCGCAAAAGCCCTATTCTGAGCAATGAGGCCCCAACAGTCCCAACAGAACAAACACGGAGATGCACTGATTTCTCTGCTAAATCACATTCCTAGACGTGGTCATGTCATGTCTATGTTAGATGTCATTTATGCTAACCCTAAGCCCGTCACCGTATTCGACTTTTCGTGGGCCTTCTTGCGGATAGGGTTGGAGTCCAGAGGCGTGGCTTGCGGGACTTCAGCGGAGAGGTAAAGGTCCTGCAGAAAGAACAGCTTGCGGCTTGCGGTCGGACTATGGGTATCTTATACTAGACGTATATAGGGATAAGGGACTACAGGGGAACAGTACTACTAACTCTTCAGGCCTGTGTATTACTCCAGTATTGGAACATCGAATGCGGAAAATAAGTCAAATCCAGACTGTAGTGCTTCAAAAACGGGAGCACGTCATCTCTTGCTGAAACCTGGAAAAGACCTTCCTGAACCCTTTTTAACCCCTAAACCCTAGCGAGATCTCGTGTGGAAGCCCCAGGGTCGCAGGTAGGGTTTAGGGTTTAAGGTCTAGGGTTTAGGGTTTCGGGTTTAAGGTTTAGGGTTTAAGGTCTAGGGTTTAGGGTTTCGGGTTTAAGGTTTAGGGTTTAAGGTTTAGGGTTTAGGGGTTTAGGGTTTAAGGTCTAGGGTTTAGGGTTTCGGGTTTAAGGTTTAGGGTTTAAGGTTTAGGGTTTAGGGGTTTAGGGTTTAGGGGTTTCGAACCCCAAACACAAGAGGCCCAAGCCATCCCATCCTGGTCCAGAACCTTCCCCCCTCACCTCATTCCTGGGCCCTAAACCCTAATCCCTAACCCCGAAGACCTGAGGGCCTAATAGTCCCCTGACCCCTGCATAGCACGTGTTTGGTTGCATGAACAACTTAACATCGCATACCCCACAGAGAAGTCTTCCACTAAACCCTTTAAACCCTCATACCATCCTAAGAGCCTGAAGCCCTAAACCCCTAAACCCCTTCAAAGCTTCCAACCCTACAAACCAGAAGCTCTGAATCCTGCACCGTAAGAGCCCCCTTCCCCCAATCTTGCCTGGCCCGGATCGGTTTTAAACCGCCCCTGGGCCGCCATCTGGCAGAACCGCTGCTTCCCTGCAAAGAGCTCCTCCGACTCAGAGTTGGGTTTTAGACGGTTTAGGGTTTCGGGTTTAGGGTTTAAGGTTTAGCGTTTACTTAAAGGATCATGGCACTTAGTAGCTAAGGTTATAAGTAAGGTAACTATACTTATAATTGCATATTAAAGTACTTATAACCTTACTTACTAAGTCCCATGATCCTCCAAGTAGGGTCTAGGGACCTACCAAAATCCCTTCGTTAAGGAATACATCCTGAGTCTTAGTCGGTTAACTGCTCTGACTTAAGTTAAGGTATATTCTGAGTTCAGGGCTTTGGAAGATATGGCCTCTAGCCCGGTTTAGAGTTGAGGTTCAGCACTTGTACGGGTTATGGCGTTTGGGGTTTAGGGTGTCGGACCTTGTCTCTGTAGGGCCTTAACAAATACCATAGGGTGTTGGGGTACATTGTAGCATACTCATACTTTAGCAAGGAGCCCTTAAGGAATTTTATTTGCACATTACTCCAGATGCCTGGGTTTCGCAAGGATGAACTCGACCGCCCGCTGGCAGTCGGCCGTGCTGAGGGTTTAGGAATCAGGGCAAATGGATCGTAGACTCCTTGAATTTACATCTAAGACATAAGCCCTCCAAGGCTGTACCGGCCCTACCCTAAACCGCTAAACCCCTAAACTTTAAGCAACAAACAACCCTAAACCCTAAACCCTAAAACCTGTAAACCCTCAATCCTGAGTGATACACCGTGACCGCATGCGAACCTCCCATGGTTAGGCTAAGCTCGCATTACAACCGTATTTACCCTCAGTTCCAACTTCCCGCATCGTTGCACTTAGGATTTAGGGGTCTAGGGGTTATGGGTTTAGGGTTTGGGGTTTGGGGGTTTAAGGTGTAGGCTGCAGGAGCTACACCGGCCTGTGGCCTTGTCAACCCTTTGAGGACGTCGTGCGAAGTAACCCGTGATGTCTGACCGGCGGGTTGCG